ATGGAGAAAATCTATCTTGTTATATTTATTAGTCATATAGTTTTCTAATGGAAAACTCACTTTCATCAAATATGATGAAGAAGAACACATTAATTCTATCAAAATAGTTAAGGAAACTTCTCTCTTGATAACCATAATGTGAAGGGTAAAAAAGAAAACAACATGCTCTTTATTGTTTAAAACAAATCATCTATATTTTTATCGTGTCATTTACCCCTTTTTTTCTTAAAGAAAAGCTTCATGTTCAAATGTTTTATTATTTTTTTAAATTTTTTTATTCATAGCAAATATACAATATATCCCTTTTCATTCTCATACGTCGTATGTCTTCTTCATCCATTTAATTGATCTAAGGAAACCTAGCCCTAACAAAAAATATGAGTTAAAGTTCAGCTTTTAATAACAAATATACATGCTTTTATAAGATAAATATTTGATGCAAAACTAAGGGGCTCTTATTACAATAAATTCTTCTGAAATGGCCTTAAATGCCATTCTCCCTTGATTATTATCACTTAAAAGCTGTTCAAAATCATATTATAAGACAACTTTGGTGGCATTTTGTTCTCCCAAAATAAAGATAATTTGAGAAAAATAAGGCTTCATAAATGGTACTTTCCAATATTACCCTTCAAGTAAAGAGAAAATTAAAATGATATTATAACATAATGTTTAAGTGTGTAAGGGTATTTTTAAAAGTTTATAATTTTATTTTGAAACTAGTTTATAAAAAATTGAAATAATATTATAATATAATGATTAAATATATAGGGACATTTTTGAAATTTTATAATTTTGTTTTGTAATGTAATGATATTTTTTGGTTGAGGTACAAATAATATACCAGCAGGAGCAAAATTAAATTTAAACCATGTACTAAAAGTAATGAATAGAATTATATAAATTAGGTTTTTTTAGATGTTCAAGGGTTGAGAATCGAATTTCAACCACCCGTTTAAATAATAACGAGACCACAACCACGTATATTAAGTTGATTTGTTAAAAAAATTTAAACAACAAATTAAATATATAAAGGTCAAAATTATTTAAAACTATATGAATAATTTTAGAAAAATTTAGAAAAAATAAAATAAATGATTCACTAAAAACATGAGAATTAAACCGCTACAACAAATATTAGATCTAAAGTCCTCGATGTCCAATTATATATATTTCTTCCCTCTAACAAATCTATATCCCAACCCCTTGCCTGGATCTAATTTAGTGATTGTCATCTCTCTCCCTCTTTCTTCCTCTTCTCTTGTTCCTATTTCAATCAGTAAATTAAAAACTAACACATTAATGGGGGCAAATTAGATAATTGCTCACTCTCAAATATACATAAGTCTGCCACTGTATGGGAATTCTTGAAAGGGTCCATTTCCCCATTATATTATTATCCTCATTTCCTTGAAAGCCTTCCATTTACATCAAAACTAACCTAAAAGGTGAATTTATGAATAAATCAGAAACAATAATAACACAACTTTAACCAATAGGCTAAGTCTAGTAAAAATGACTAGTTCATCATAATGTGGTGTTCAAATTCTAAGTAGAAGAAATGCTCACATTTAGTGTTTGATTTTACCTTGAATAAAAATGTCTCTAATAAGAATACGTTATAAACTACAATAATAATTATAATAATGCAACTTTAGACTCATATATACAAAATGCACATGCAACTTGTGTATAGAGAAACATGACCAGCTATGCCTGCTCTTCATTCACTTCAACTTTTGCGAGACACTCTCTCTCTTCCTTTATTGATTGTCTCAAAATTAAAGATTCCTTTTTGAATCATGAATCATATTATCAAACTAAATACATTATTATATATTCACACTGCATGTGTTATTATAATTATATATTACTTCATTTCAACATGTAAGAGATTCCTATATGTTTACGTTTTTTTATTAATTGGATAATTTCTTATCCAATGCCTGTTGAATAGCAGCCTGTTGATTTATATGTATAGTATTGTAGCAGTTATTCCTTAACGTTTACAGACTTACAAACATAATAATAGTAATCGGAGTTTAAAACAAAACTACAATTTGATATTCAAAGTCTATTTATAATCAGATTTTTCAATTTAAAATTTCACGCTTCTCACATTTCTTGAAATGAAAAGATAGACAAAACCAGGTTATTTTCTGGTTTCTTTGTATTGTCCTTCATCAAAAACAAAAAAAAAATGTACAAATTAATTTCTAAATTTAAAATAAATGAATTTATATTGCGCATTATAAACAAAAAAAGATATCATTAAAATAAAGTTCTAAAACAAATGTTGTTTAAGTCAGGTGGCGGAATGGAAGTGACTCATTCCGAGGATTTGAATATTATATAGATAGAAAACAATTATATTGAAAAAGCTATCAAAATTGAATTTTATGTCTCAATATGATTCGACTGATCAATATGAAAACCAACATCCATTTTAACAGTATTTTAATCTTTTAAAAAAAAACTCAAAAGAGAATTTGAAAATATACTTTCAAAAATAAATGAGAAGGTTATCTATATTAAACTTGGTTGAATTAGATATATATTAGGTTTGTCATTCTATCAAAATAATTTAAGCTAACTTGATGAAATTCACCTTAATCTTTTAAAATATATAAAACATTTTTAACCAAATTTTACCTTCTAATAACTTACTTAACTGTCTTCAAACTGACATCATATTTTTATATTTATCCTTATTTAATATATTGGTTGACTTAGAAGTAAATATAAAATGATTTATTTATTATGAACATTTTTAGAAAAAAAATACATTAATTATGTCTTGAAACAATAAAAATGTTTTGCATTTTTTAATGAAGTACCTTTAATTCATTCTTTAATTAATCCATGTGAGACCTTTCTTTTAATATAATCTGATAATCTATCCATTTCTAATTTAAACTTGATATAAGCAGGAGAGAGTAGTTATATAATATATATATATATATATATAACTTGCAAATATATTTTCGAAAATAAATGAGAAGGTTATCTCTGTCACATTTAAAGTTTAAACACATGATACAGGGGGGGCAAGTGTATAGTTTTCTAATACTATACACACACACACAAACATAAAATAAAAGAGCTATACATAGCTGTTTTACTCTATGTCTCAATTCATGAGTCATCAATCCCGTGAACAAAGTCTCATCATTTTCAACCACACATCATCGCCAGTATATATCTCTCATGTCGATGAGGAGCTTCTTCTCCAACGAGAAGTTAAAGCATCTTTTTTCACAAAGTGCCCATACGCACAACAAAATCTTTCTCTTTCACTGTCACATATATTTCTTGTTTAAAAGGTGTTGAGTGAAAGTTATATGCTTAATAATGGCTGCTTCAAACATTCATTATCCTATAAAGAGCAAATTAGTGAAGCCAGTTGAAGCCAACAAAAAGGGAGCTTGGACACCTGAAGAAGATACCAAACTAGCTGAAGCCATCGCAGTTCATGGCGCCAAAAGGTGGAAATCGATTGCAGCTAAAGCAGGTATACGTATTATTACTTACACAGTTCATATACAGGGATAACGAAACTTTTTGTCTCTAAAATTTGTCTTAGTTATTAATCTGATCTCTAAAGTTTAATCTTTATCAACCAAGTCTTAGCAAATTTAGGGATGATATACATCTTGGACGTGTTATAATTTCTACGTCGGTTTCTTGATATGTACTGATTCTGTAGATGAAAATTATCAACAGGTCTTGATAGGAATGGTAAGAGTTGCAGGCTAAGATGGTTGAACTATCTGAGACCAAACATCAAGAGGGGGAACATATCAGACCAAGAAGAGGATTTGATACTTCGCCTTCACAAACTGGTCGGAAACAGGTCTGATCACTTGATATACGTATGTTGAGTCTCACATCATAAACTCTCACGAGAAAAGAGAGTTTTACAAGTTCAAGATAGTTTCCCATCTAACTGGATGGTTCTTTGGGACGTGAGCTTTCCTTTTTAGGCTTGTGAGGTAATTCAGATTTTTGATAAATATATATATATATATATATATAAATGTTTTGCTAGGTGGTCTTTGATTGCTGGAAGGTTACCAGGACGAACAGACAATGAAATAAAGAACTACTGGAATTCTCATTTGAGCAAGAAAATGAAGCAGAGAGAGAAGAAGGAGAAGGAGAACCAAATAGAGTGTTCATCGTCGACAAGAGATCATCATGAGAAAGACGAAAGACTAGTAGAGGTGATGGCGGAAGAGAGTAATAATAATGATATTCCTGCAGAGGCAACATTGGAGACAACAGTGGAAGAAGAGAATCCAAATGAAGAAGAGGATGAACAATATTCGTCCAAGTTCTTCAATTTTGATGAGAATGATGGGTTGTTCGATTTTTTGGATGAAGGTCCATTGAATTTGGAGTGGCCTAGCAAATTCCTCGAATTCAATTAGCTTGGCGTAAGTAAATAATGTATGGGGTTACTTCTGGAGCCAGGTCATTAATTAAAATCTTATTTACTATTATCAAATATGTATTGGCGATGTAATAATCCTTTTGTTATAGTGATTTCGTATAGCTTCATTGGAATTTGCTCATCACCTTTGTGACGAAAAGGAGTTAATAGATGGTAGGGTTAAATAGTAAATTAACCGTTAAACTAGAGGTTCAAAAGTATCTGACGTTCTAAACTTGTTTTCAATGCAATGTTCTTTTTCAACATTTGAAAACTATGTAATAAAATCCTTATCATTGACAAAAGTTAATTTTGACAGATAGTTAATCAAAAAATTATAAAAAATAACTTCAAGAATCACAGAAAGGAGCCAATAAAATTTTTTTGTCCTTTACTATAAGTTTTTGGATTCTTACACTACAAAAAATATGACTTTTGGCGACAACTTTTAATGGCGACTAAAAAAGTCGCCGCTAAAAGTGGACTTTTGGCGGCGACTAAAAAAGTCGCCGCCAAAAGTGGACTTTTGAAAAGTTACCACCAAAACTATATTTTTAGCGACGACAAATCAAACTCGCCGCCAAAAGTCACTTTTAACGGCGACTGTGATTTGTCGCCGCTAAAAGTTCATTTTTGGCGGTGACATTTTGTCGTCACCAAAAATATTTTTATAAAAAATAATTTAAAAATTAAAAATAATTAATATAATTTACTTTTGGCAACGACCTTTGTCACCATCAAAAGCATTTTTATAAAAAAATAATTTAAAAATTAAAAAATAATTAATATAATTTACTTTTGGTGGCCAAAAGTATTTTTATAAAAAATAATTTAAAAATTAAAAATAATTAAATAAAATTATTCAAAATATATTTATGAAATTAAATTTCTTATTTTATGTATAGAATTAGAAATAAATTATATATAGGAACGTGAAATAAAAAAATAATAGTTAAAGTGTGCTAAGTTTAATTATTAAATTTTTTTAATTTTATATTATTCATAATCATTTTTTAGACATATATAGCTCTTTTTTTTTTAAGAATTATGTTATTAAGCTAGTATTTTAATATGATAAATTTAAATCTTAATGGGTTATTACTTCAATTATAATTAGGTTAAGTTATACATAAATTATTACTTACAATCAAATACATAAATAGCATTAGGAAGTTAAAGTTGTACAAACATCGTGAGATGCTAATGATATTATAGACTACTTAACATATTACACACTTTATGCTTAGCTTGATATATATATATATATATATGGTATTTATTTCTTCTACTGAGCTCTAATGACTTTTGGACAAGGATTTCATGTAATTCCTCCTAGTATATTTAGGTTTTCATTGCTATAATAACATTTTATAACTAATTATTACCAAGAATAATATGAATAACTACTCAAATCTACCTTTCTATGAGATTGAAGATGATTAGATGTTAACTAGATTGATCACACAGAGATTCTTGTAATTATCATATATTGCAAAAGTTATTAGTATTCATTTTCAAAATTATTCAAAATGACTATTAACAAAATTTATGTGGTTAAAATTAATTTTTTATTAAAATAATTTTTTAAGATATTGAAAAATTATCTATAAAATATATTTTTATTAAAAGAGGGGGAATATTTAGTTATTTTGAGAGAGGATAAAAATTTAATCATTTAGTTTATTAATTTTTGAGAAAAATATGGAGAAGAAAAAAGTAAAAGATATTTAACATAAAATAATATAATACATATTTATAAATAAATTATATACTTAATAATTTTCATTTAAAAAATAAAAATATAATTTAAAAATTTATTACAATGTATATAAGAATATTATTTTAATATTTAAAAATTGTTTATTTTAAGTTCATTTTCCTAAAAAAAATAATATTTATTGGTAAAAAATAATATTTTATTAAAATTATAATTTAAATATTCATATAAATCATTTTGTCATATTAATAATTGAAAATAAAATAAAATATATGGATATCTTTTTAATCATATATTATTTGATATATGTGTATGCAGTTACATAATATATATTTAATTTTGTATATAATAATTGCAGGTACATTTCAGTTCAACTGGCAAAGAAGGGAGGCTTAAAGCTTAGAGGAAGGAGAGGTTAAGGGTTCAAATCTTAGCTTTGTCATATTTCACAACAAATATGTGACGTGGCGCATGGTGGTGACATGGCGCGTGAGGTTGTTTGAGAATGCACACACATGACAAGTGATGTGGTATGAGTTGGTGGCGTGGTACATGAGGTAGCTTGATGGGGCATACACGTAGCTGGTGATGTGGCACGAGATGGTGACGTGTCACATGAGGTGGCTTGAGAGGAAGTGCACATGTATCATGTGACATGGCATGAGATGACTAGGTGATGTGGCATTATCTCTTGAACACAAGACTGTGACGTGGCACAAGATGGCAAGTGACGTGGCATAATCTATTGCATATATGGTAGGTGATGTAGCATTACTTAATGCACACGTGACAGAGTGATGTGACATAAAATAAATTATTATTTCTTAAAAAAAAGTTTTGGCAAAGTCTTTTTGGCGGTGACATTTGTTGCCACTAAAAAGACTTTTAGCGGTGAAAAGACTTTTGGCGGTGACATTTGTTACCCCTAAAAGTATACTTTATATTGTCGCCGCCAAAAACTATTAACAACGGTTGCTATAGCAATGATTTTTAGCGACGGAAAGTCGCCGCTAAAAACTTTTAGAGGCGACTTTTGGACTTTTGGCGGTGACTTTTTGTCGCCGCCAAAAGTTAATTTTTTGTAGTGTTATCTGTAATTTTTGTATCCTTAATTCTATTTAATTTTTTTATTTTTTATTATTTTTTGATTAATTAATAGTTAAAATTAATTTTAATTAAAGATATACGCGATATTATCACCCACCCACATGCCTTTTTTTCTTTAATTTTAAATCATCAGAAGGTGCGGGTGGGCATTAATTAATTATCTACAGCTTTCATGGTCAAACTAGCTAGCCAATCATCAATATTAAAAAAAAGTAAGATTTAGATTCTTAAACTTTTAATTCTTTTATCTGACTAATTAAATTAAGATAAATGAATTTTAATTTATTAATACTATTAATAATCAAGAATTTATTATAGAATAAATAATCTATAAAATATCTACTAATTCACGTCTCATGAATTAATTGCAAAAAAGTATTTTGAGTTTATAAGTTTTTTTCTTATTAAAAATATAATCATATCCAACGGAGGCCATTCTAGTTTCCAGCAAATTTCGACAACTTTTAGATTCCCAAAATACCCCAAAAAAATTCTCACAACCTACCTGATTATAAAGGTGAGTAGGTTTCACCATGGAGTGTGTGTATGCCGTAATTAACTTCATTGTTTAATTTGACTATCTTTTGGGACAAAAAAGAGGGAAATGGATTTCTACTATACTCCTGTAATTCTAATTATAAGGAAAAATTTTAAAATCATACTCTCTCCAATTCCATTTATAGGGTAGAGAAAATATTTTTTTTAAGTTTTATTTATAAGTCACCTCATTAAATTTTCATCATAAATTTTTTTCATTTGATCTTCTTCAAATGTTGAAGAGAGAAAGTATGTATATTTAATAAGGTTAAAATTAAAAAATAATTAAATTTCTATACAGAGTTAATAAATTTTAAATTTTTTTCTTAATTCTGATAAAATACATTAGAAGTGTCTTACAAATAAAATCAGATGAGTATGTTCTAAATATAAGACAACTATTTTTAATATCGTTTCTCATTACATTAATTATTGTGGCAAGCTTATATTCCCTCTTGTCTTTTTTATTAATCACATTCTAAAAGGTATTTTGTCCTTTATACTAAATCATTTTCCCTTATTTTTTGTAATTTTTTATGCACAATTATGAAAATACTCTCCAACAAATTCTTCAAAAAAGTATAATATGTCAATTCCCAAAAAAACTTTTCCCACATATTAAATTACTCTTTTTTAAATTTAGGAGCAAAATTGAAAAGTCAATTATTTTTAAGATAATTTTATTATTCCAACTAATTCACTTTGATTATGGTAAGTTAATTAAAAGTGACTTATAAAATGGATTGAAGGGAGCGATTCACATCCACTTTATTATAGTCATTAATTTCAATAAAAGGCAAAATTAAAAAGTTAAATATTTTGTATAAGTTTAAGGATATTAATAATTCCTTAAGAACCGTGAAAATAATAAAGAATGATTATTTTCTCTCTTTTTTGCTCTGTCCAAACAAAGAATTAGTGTATTTGGATTGAAAGATTTTCAAATGTTATTTTATGATAACTTTTTTATATTTAGTGTCTAATCATACCTTAAATATAATTATTTTTAATATGATAATACTTGTGAGTAACTAGAAAAAATTAGAGGTTGTCTCATTATGACACCTTTTCACATGAATGGTCATACCTCTTAAAAATAGTTCATCATGAATTCTCTCAATGTAATAATCACGTACGTACTTCCAAATAATTCATGAATTAATTCTTTGAAATTCATACATTTTCAAATGATTAATGAATCCTTTCCCTCTTGTTTTTGGCTATAATTAATTAATGAATCCTTTCAAGAGAACTTATGAAGCCTCAAATCCAAGTTCAATATAGTCTTCTGGTTCTAATTATAATTCATGTCCGTTAACTTTGTTTAGAATTTTAATAACTTTTTAATTTTATGCCTATTAAATATACATATTTTAACAGTTCAATTTCTTTCCTCAACATTCAATGGAAGGTAAAATAAAAATTTGTGATAAAAATTTAGTGACATAACTAATCATGTAAATCAGTAATTATCTTAAACTTCTAAAAATCAAAGTTCAATTCATTTACGTCATAATTATCTTGAACTTGGGAAGAACTATTGTTATTTTATATCAATCCCCTAGTGTGTGTGTGTGTGTGTGTGTGTGTGTGTGTGTGTGTGTGTGTGTGTGTGAATAGGAAGAATATAATTATTGAAAGATTTTAACCTTCTACTAGACATTTTGAAGTTTTGCTGAAGTTATTGGCATTCGAAGATTAAATACAAC